GCTAGCTGCAGATATCCATGGAAAAAAGCAGAGCCAGCACTCGAACTTGATCCCATGCCTCATCAGACAAGAAGCAGCCTGAATCAAAGAGGAACTCGCAGGTATGATTGGCAACCCATACAACGCCCGGCAAGCCGTCGTACGGTGGCGGCGGCGGCCTTTCCACAAGTGTCGTCGCCAACCAACCAAGAAAAACAGCCGTGTCGGCTGCAGAGCCCTTAAATTCAGGACATTCATCCCATCCAAGGCCATTCTTCGTGAGCTTCTTGATCGAAATGTAGTGGCTTTTTTGCTTTCCAAAAGCTTTCACAGCTGCAAGGATCTGTTTCAACCTGGCATTGATATTTTTGCGGAAAACCAGTGTTTGCCGGTGGCAATGGTTTTCAGAGCCGAGCCCACCAGGTCACGAGCCACACACCCAAGTGCCATGTATGCATATAGTCGGTTCGAATCATAGAGAGCTGGAAGTAATGAAGTCTCGCGAAAGCAGGCTCATCGGTGCACGGTAGCCCACAGTTGCCATCATGATGCATTGTGCTCCGCCACTCAGCTGCTTCTGAAACATCAGTGTATACAGTACTGAAAGATTTGCGCCCCATCTGGCCTCGCAATAGAAGCAAACCTGAGTTGGATAGGCATAACCACACGAAATTCCTGCACTTACAGCCTCTATATAGGGTTCGTACACAATTTCTATAGGTTTTAGGACGGGAGACAAAAGCCCCAAGCCCCAACAAACAATGGAACAAACCCTTAATCAAAGATCGTGCCATGTGCGGTGGCGGCACCTTCTCGGATCCCGGCTTGCGGGTGAGGTTGAAGGCTTGGCCCATTTGCTTCAAGTCGCCTCTAAATCCCACAGGAATGAAGTAGTATACCTGATCAGGGAGGACTGGGATCTAATAATATTTGCACAGATCCTGGGTTTGTGATTTAGGGCTGGGTTTTTAATATCAAGCACCTCGTCACCCATCTGAAGACCTTCTTGGCTCAGCTTGTTGAAGTCGTCCACAATAGCAGCATTCAGGGCTTGAAGTGTTACATTCGTCTTGGCCCGAATGAGGGAGTTCTGCACCAATAAGGAACACATAATGTAGCGGGAGGCTTTGGAGTCTGTGCGGCATTCGGAGAGGTCTGGTGTCCTAGAATGTTAGTTATTATAGAGCAATCACAGATTTGAGAAACCCTGCTAGCACCCCTTAAAAGGGAAAGAAACCATGCAGGACAAGCCAAGGTTCCACGAAGCCAACATCCATGAAGTACGGTTGAGCGTCGCTTCATCGCCCCAAATCAGTACAGGAATGGCCCGATGGTATAAATCAGGGCGGCCACCCAACAAAGGAATACTCAGCTCTTCCAGTCTTTTCTCCCAATACTTCTCCAGGGCAGCTCTGTCCGGGATCATTGTGCTCAAGAATCCTTCTTGCAGAAGGCATCGTGCCTTGGATGAGGTTTTTTACATACGGACTGCAACACATTGGCTTTGTGGGTTCAGTAATTGATTACCATCACACCCAAAATCATAAAAGAATTGCCACTAGTACTTACAAATATCGGGAAACGAGGTTGGAAGGAAGAAGAACAGGGAATGCTTCGATGGCCTCTTCGTCCAGATCGTAGTTCCATGATGGGGCAGTAATCCAGGTGAGCTCACAGTCGAAAGACGACCCAGTTCCAGATAATCGCGAATGAAACTCGGCCTCTCGTAGAGGCCTGCTGCTGTAACCATCCAGTAAACGAGACCCATAGGCCCTAGGCATCTCCTTAAGCTGTGGTTTGGGATTTGGGATTTATTTGCTATCTATCTATTTATATATATATATATAGATACAGGGATACCGTGCTTATATTCGGTGGGTTGTGTTACAACTAGAACCCCAGCAATATTGGCAAGTCACCCAGGTCACAGGCCACTGTCAAAGTCGTGTCACCAGCACACGTAGCTCGAACCAGCCTTGGGCAGGGAGCTTTCGGATTCTAGTTTCGGTCTAAGTGGGCTTTTGAATCATGCAATGAAGAATTACAGGTGTATGGACATATGGAGTTTGGGGTGAAGGATTTGGTTATTCAAAATCAAGGCGCTTCTCATCGAGGACATCAGCCACCTTCGGCGGCTCGGCAGCCTTCTTGGCACCTGCACACGTCGCACTTGATCGGATTTGGGGATTGGAGACCAACCGGGATGCTCACAGTAGTCAGTAGAGCTTTCGAAAGGATTGTTTTGGCCCCAACGCTTTGCTTGGTTCGAGATTGCCTGCATGCAGCCATAACTACAAATGCAAGCGGCAAATTGGCATGTGGAGCATCCAGCACCTGTTTGGTGCACGGCCTCACACTCCAAGCCCCGGTGGCCCCTTGCGCTATGGAGGTTCTCCGCAAAGTTTTGCAGAGGTTCCCCTAGCAAGAGGATCCCACATATGCAAGTCGTACACATTTACGAGCCCAAGACCCTGCTAAGTAGTAAGGATTATATAGGTGTCGGAAGGATCAATGAAACCGTAGACCCCAACTTCTATCAACATCCCGAAATCTGCGATCTTCAGTGCTGCACTATAACCAGCAAATGCACGACCACGTACATTGTAACTCTTCGAAGGAAACGATGTGGTTCCTGGGTAGAGACCACATCCTCATTGCTATCACCGGTGCACTGCGAAGATAGACTTCGTAAAAGGGCCCAGGCAGTAACAGGATTTGGGGTAGCAGAGTTTTAAGTTCGTAACGATATGCACCAGCAATCACCCGGAGAATCATATCAGGCAGCCCTCTTCTGGAGCTCCTTCAGCAGGCCTTTGATTTGCCCTTTGCGCAAAGAAAGCTTTGGAACCTTGGCTCCCAAGCACCCGAAGCACACTAAGCCCAAAGAAAAAAGTCGCAATCGACAAACCAAAACACAACACTCATCGATATCCAAGGAAACTTCATCGTGGATAGTGTCGCACTGGCCATCCATGTCCTCGGCTTGGGCATCTGGGTCCAATTTGTTGAACCTCGGTGCAATCAAGATCACATGGAGGTGTGGATATGGGGTAGAAATCAGCTAATTTAGGCTGGTTGCTTCCTCGCAAGCATTTCGAGCCTCTTCTTGTGACCTTTGAGGTCCTTGAGCAGCCTCTGGTAGTCATCATCAGAAGCATCCCCCATATCAAAGATCAGGTCCGTGATGCCATTCACACTCTTCTTGAGCTCCTTGCCTTGCATTTGACAACCAGAACACCGCCACTGACGATGACAACGACAATGCAAGAGAATCTTAAAGACAATTGTTTTGACAGTCGAACAATTGTCGCAACAATTGCCGCAAGTTCCAAACAATTGCCGCAGCGTCTGGGTACACCAGTTTAGCGCCGGGGGTTCTAAAAACACTTAATCTTAAAGTGCAACCTAGCAGCACCACTTTGCATGCTTGTCTTTGGAGCACTTGAAAACCTCATTGATCAAGGAGGTGGCTTTAACAGTGGTCGCCGTAGATCCCGTCGTGGTGTGGCTTTCGCTCCCGGCCGTCTCTGATTGCATCCAGCACCTCACTGGGTTCAGGATGTAGGCCCCCCCTAGATATGGAATCAAAACATATCAAAACCATATCTCGCTGTCTCTCTCTCGAGAGAGAGATCTCTCTCGAGATCTCTCTCTCTCTTTCTCTCTCTCTCTCTCTCTCTCTCTCTCTCTCTCTCTCTCTCTCTCTCTCTCTCTCTCTCTCTCTCTCTCTCTCTCTCTCTCTCTCTCTCTCTCTCTCTCTCTCTCTCTCTCTCTCTCTCTCTCTCTCTCTCTATCTTCGGGTGCTATGGTCTTTTTGGAATTTTACAAAATCTCGAGGTTTGAGCTGACTCAATTCGTCCTTGCGCTGATCGAAAGCCCTCAGGACGTCGGCCTTCAGCGGTGCTTGCTGGGTCGTGGCAGCCTTCTTATTGAGGAGGCCCGGATCGGCGCCAGGAATAAGAGCATCAAAGAATTGTGATCCCGGACGACAGTTCGCTTTGAAGTTCTGCTTCAGCCTTCAGTGACTAGACAGAACTAGACACAACAAGCAGGCCTGCACATGTTCATGTTCAACATCCAATGCAAGCCGTGCTCCTGTACTCGGTGCTTTCCACCTGGGTGCGATCCACTTTGCACCAGTTTGAGGTGTCAGGAAGAGAATCTGGTGCTTGTTCATCACGTTCCCCCACTTGGGTTGCAATTATGTGTTGCATTTTCTGCCTTAGCTGCAGATTGCAAGCGTGGTGAAAGGAGACAGAATAGAGCTTGAGCGAATCGTTATAATTTGCTGCCGAAGTACTCGCTGAAGTAGTGTGGCTTTCTGTGCATGTTCTTCACAGGGATCTGCGTCCAGACTTTCTCGCCACGCACACCGGACTCCTGGGAAACCTCGATGGCGCTCTCGCAAGCCTGCAAGTTCTGGCCCGAAAGCACCCAGTTGCGCAACAGCTTGCGCTTCTCCTCAGCACAACCACCGATCATTCGAGCCATGTTGGTTGATCACGACACACACACACACACAAGCACAGACACTTGCGCCCACCCACCCACACACACACACACTTAAGTGGACCTCTCTCTCACTCTCTTGCTCTCGGCACTCACCCTATGTCTCTCTGACTCTCTGCTAAAGTTTAACTATGCCCTAAAGTAGGAAATTAGAAAAACCAAATCGAGTTTAGATGAAGTGTCAATACAGATATAATGTTGTTAAATTAGGCTAAAGTAGTCAGGCCAAGGTATAATTTGGCGAGCGACGTCCAGGGTGCCCTCCTGCAACTCCAGCATGCTCGGGTAGTTGGCCAGTGCTCCAGCTTCGTGCATTCGGTTCTTAGCATATATAAAAGGCACACCTTCAAATGCTTCTCGCGGGAGAAATATTCAGGGATCTATTCAGCAAGCGGCGAGTTTGGCATATTCTTTTCGGTGCGTAGCAGATGTAATCCTCTGAGACGGCTCCTCCGGCTTGACATCTGACATCTCCGTTGGTCTTGGAACCGGCTCGGCTTGAGTCTTGATCTTTATGTCGCGGCGGGAAGACCATTGTTCGCCGGGGCAGGCGACGGCGAATCGTGGAGCACATGCACCTTGGCCAGGGCCCTGACAGGCGTAGCCACAGGCTTCGATGCAGCGGGTTCTTTCGAAGCGTCTTCGGGCACGGGGTCCTTTTCCGAAGTGGTACCTTTAAAATTTCGAGTCGCTGCTGAGCTGTCGGCCTTTTCCAGTTCCAACTGCTGCGCACGCTGCAACAGCATGCTCATGTCAAATGCAGTTGCAACTTGGCTTGCCGAGGGCCCGAGATCGCTGAGATTCGTCCGGGAGTCCTGGCGGTCCTTGTTGGTGAGGCGGCCTGAGTGCAGCCTGGCTTGACCGTCCGCAAAGGTACTACCAGACCTCAGACCCGATTGTGCATGTGATTAAATTGATCGCAACCGAAGTTGAGTATGTGAGACATCATGTAAACATTGCAATCAAAGCACGCTTGGCTGTCATTCGCATCACCATGAGGCGGCTCCGGCCCAGGCAGTGCCAGCAGGCGCTGTGCATCCGGCCCCGACTTAACAGGCGCAGGAGTCATGGGAGCAGAATTTCTGTGAGCCTTCAAATCAGCCTCCAGCTCACTCCCTTGAGGAAGTCCTTGTCTCCATAGGTCGTACTCATAGCAGAGCTCATCCCAATCCTTGTAGAAGCGCACTGTCCTCGTCGTCTTCCTCCAAGTTGGGGTCCTCGGGGATCTGGTCTGCTTCTGCGTCTTCGGGGATCTGGTCTGCTTCTGCGTCTTCGGGGATCTGGTCTGCTTCTGTGTCTTCGGGGATCTGGTTTGCTGCACCAGTCTTACCTCTGAGTCGCTTGGACGGCGCCTCGAGCACCTCAGCCTCAGGTTCATGCACAAAAGCTCCTTTGCGCTTCAATGATAAGGAGCCTTGGCTTTAGAAGCTTTGGCTTTCGGAGCCACAGAGCTTCTCGTGCCAGTGTCCACAGAATCGACTGGAGCTTCAGACGGGGGCTGCTTTCTGGATTTCTTGCCGGCTTGCTTGGCTGGGGGCTGCTTTCCGGATTTCTTATCGGCTTCCTCGGCTTTGGTCTTCTTGCGCTTCGGCTGGGGTTCATCGGCTTCGGCCGGGGCTGCTGACTCACCTGCTGAGGAGTTCGTGTTGGCTTTCTCGGTTTTGCTGGGCTTCTTGGAAGACTTCTTCGCCACAGACTCACGGAAAGCAAGTAAAACAGTAATGGCATCAGGGTAGCTCAGCTTCTCTTTCTTCATCATGTCACCCAATGTCATATCCGCCACTCCCACTGGTGTTGTAAGTGGGATGCTGGGGGGCCTCCATTTGGAGGAACTGGAAGGTGCAGCTGTTTTGTGATCCCGCAATGCTTCCTTGTACTTCAAGCCACGAGGCCTTCATGATAGAGCTGACTAAAGGATCTTCCTGCCTTCTGCAGGGAGCTATAGACGGCTTTGCGGCAGTGTTCGACGCTATAGATTTGTAATAAGCACAGATTCCACGCGATTTAGCGGTCGTGGCATGGATTTAACGTACATTGGCATATTTTCCACGCGACGACTTTTGCTGTGGATTGAAAGATCCTAGCTAGTCCGAACGCTGCATTGCCCCAATCCAAGCAAAGCAGCTCTATAACTCGATCTATGTATACAGCTAGCTAGGTATAATGAGGGACAATTCAATGCAGGGATTGTGCATGGGAATTCCACACAAACAGCCGGACTATACAAGCCGACCATCTCATTGAGGATTCCAGCTGCAAACGGGCCGATGCCAGCAGCAATGTCCTCGCTGCATGGGCGACACGGGGCTGGTCTGCAAAGTTCGAATCCCTACAGAAAATGCAATCAAGGCACAGCTTCTGAAGGCTGGGCTCTTGGCAGAACCTCGCGGCAGCTGCCGACCTTGTGGACTCTTGCCTTCCATCTCTTCTCACGGCCCCGGTGCGGGGAGCCGAATCGAGGAATGCGGTCAGCGCAGCGTCATGTGCGCCCTGTCGGCCATTGCATTGCCATGCCCTCATTGGCTTTGGGGCTGTGGAGCCCCAGCTTGGAGGAGCTGGCAAAGCATCCTCAGGCACGGGTCTTTCAGCCATACGTGGATTCAATGACAGCCCGGGTCGATATTCTCCCTGCAGAGTAATTATGACCGTCCCGAAATACGATGCCAGGCTCTCGCGGCTCTTTCATGTGTTTCCGAGGTTTGCGAGCTTTTCTCGTGGACTTCTGCGCTTTTCTGCGCTTTTTTTGTTGTTTTCCAATGGTTTTCGTGCGCTTTTCTATGGTTTTACCATTGATGTTGCGCGTTTCGTGAGAGGAGGAGAGGAGGGGAGGAGAGGAGGAGAGAGGAGGAGAGGAGGAGAAGACGATGCAAGGAGAGAGGGAGGAGAGGAGAGGAGAGGAGCGAGGAGGAGGGGGGAGGAGGGGAGGAGGGAGGAGGGCAAAAAAGAAGAGAGCACTCAAACAATGCACCTATATATATATATATATATAGATAGATAGATAGATAGTGCAATCCGACGCAGCCAAGGCACTTCAATCGATCTCGGATAGAATCCTGAGCTTTGGACTGACTTAAACGGTCCAGGTTTAGAGTTGCAGTTGTTTCTTTCGTGGATGGCTGCATGCACTGCTGCAAAGCTAATTGGAGAAGCCAGCGAAAAAAACAGCACATTCACACGGCTTTTTCCTGCACCAAAGCTTGCATATGTGGGCCGGGTGTGCACTATTTGTCGTCGTCTGATGCACTGCTGCTGGTAGCGTACACTGCGGAGCCGAGGACCAAAGCCGAGGCATTGGATGGCGACCGAGATCTGCGACGACGTCGTGCTTTGGCGTCCACTTTTTCACTGGACTGAGTCTTACCCTTGTCCTTCTCCGCCAGAATCTCCATAACCCTGCGCTTCCTTCGGAGCTCCGCGGTCTCACACTGCACATCCTCCTGTACCGGCTCACTCTTTACTGCAACGACTTCCTTGTCCTCCTTGCCCGAGGAGGATGCTGCCGCTGCTGCCACCGTTGCCGCTGTTGCCGCTGCTTCTGGCTTCTGTGGCATGTGCTTCGACGACGGCTTCATGGTAGCACAGAGATCGAACGGGGGATCGACAGAGCACACCTAGGTATTCTTGATCCGGAACGGAGCGGGCGTGTCACACTGCTGTTTTGCTGAAACGTACCCAGACAAGTGCAATATAATAAAGGCCGAGGTTCCCATTGGCCTTTCAGAACCACGTCTTTGGACCGGAGGAGGTAGTGGCAGCATTCCGGAAGTCCAGCCTGGGATGATTAATTAAGCATAGACGATATAGATCAGAATCACAGCTTTTGAAAGTACTGAGCCTAGAGGCCTCCAGGCTCACCGGGCAGCTCCAGGCACCAGCAGACAACCGGTCGGAAAATAATTCATAATCCGAATTGCCAAGGTCCACATCGGCGTGACAACGAGGTCCTGGCATCTGATCCTTGGCACAGAAAGAATTACGGTGGATGCCCGCATTGGAAGCAACAAGAGACTCTCTTTGCGGTTTGGAGCAGCATGGTTCAGCCTGTAGTGCGTAGCAAGGGCTCTCGCGAACTTTTCCGTGTATTGCCTAAGCTTGCAAGGACACAAAAAACTCATTTCGCCTGCCACGGTCAATCATGCTAGCATGACGATCCTGATCACACACAGCCTAGTCACTGGGAATCTTTGAGCAGCTTGGGCAAGCCAGTGAACTTCTTCTTCACACTTCGCCCATGTGCACTTCTACTCTGTGAGTGCACTGCAAGCTTTATTGTCTTCATCATCTTTGTTCTCTCCTCTACACTCAGATATCCTGCTCTGGCCACCAAGGCTTCAACCAAGCCTTGCCAATTCGACAGCAGCATGTGCCTCTTCAGCGAAGGGCTGCCGAATCGAATCATGTAGAAGAAGCCCTTGAAGACCTTGTCCGAGTTGGTGGGGTTGTAAACAGGCATTAGAATGAACACATTGTATTGCGTATTCATCGAGGACTGTAGGCATGCCTAGTAGCAGGGGCTCTTTCCAGCAGCCATTGAAATGCCGGGTGGTCCACAAGACATGTCTGTGAGGGCTGCTCCAAAACCCATCGACCATTACGAGCACAAATGACCAGGATAATCATCGCTACTCGTACCAGCAAAACATTCCCCACGTGCACGAAACCGTAGCCCTCGTTGCCCTTCGGCGTGATATGGTTTCTCCCGGAAGTGCTTCTTGACCTCAGAGAAAGGCAGACATACACAGTAGGTTGCATATTGGCATGCGCTAAGCACAAACCACTAAATCAGTGCACCAAGCCACATCACTGAGTAAGATGCACATGGGAGGCCAATGACACAGAGGCCTGTATCCATCTTGAGACGACGAGCTTCATTCAGGGCCGTCCTTATATAGTGAGAACACAGGTCCAGGCTCCCCAACACACATGTAGACTCGCTTCACAGCTTTCAGTCTAGTCTAGTCACAGGAAGCCAGATATGCTCATCAAATCATGGCCCATCGGATCATTATCCAAATCCAGGGATGTTCCAATCAGACCCAGATCCTCAGGGAATCGATCTTCGGTTGATTTCGAAAGACTCCTCCTAAACTGACAATCCCAGGTTCGGTGCGGAAGCTGGCGCCGACAGAATCGCAGCCAGAGAAAAGGTGCAAGAAATCAAGGTCCTGTGCGGGCTCATCGGAATTCTGGTAAATATCTTATAATCCAGATGGGAGACGTGGCAGAATGCTGATAGAAGCAGTCCTCATTTTGTAGGGCCTTTTCGTGAAAGGCCAGGAGCACCACACACATGATCAATTGCAGCGGGGCACCCCATCGTAACAGCTCTGCTACGACCATGGCCACTGGTGGCCCCAGCTGTGATCTAAAGCGTAGCAGCCTGGAGCCCTGTGCACAGAAAGAGAGTTTCAGTGCAGAACATGTCAGGCTCAATTTGGTATGATACACAGAAAACGATTTCAGGCTTTGAATGATGCCGGGCACTTGCAGCTGGTCTCAGGTTGTCTCAGGTGCATTTCGACTTGTAGACCAGAATTTACACTGCAGAAATTTGCACATGGAATAAAGCTGCAGAGCCTGAAAGCTAAATGAAGCGTCGTCGCTTCAATTCGTTCTGCGATAAGCCTTCCAGCCAGGAAGCCCTTGCAGGGCTCTGATTCCACTTTTGAGAAGCTTCCTTCCATGAGAAGCCCCGGTCGCGCTTCCTTGCAATGTACCTCAAGCGAGCTTCTTTGTAGGATCCAGGCACATATGCACAATCCGCCGTCATCGTCCTCTTCATGCGCTGCATGGCCTCGGTTTCCTCGCCCTTCTTATCTGTGCTGGGATCTTGTTTCTCCTTCACTTCTTGGGGTCCTTCTTCGCCTGAACCTTTGAATTGGAGGCCTGCGCCTTCTTCGCTTTGGGCTTTTTGGAGGCTTTGGCCTTCTTATGCCCGTCAGGATCCTCCTCATCGCCCTTGCCGGGTCCATTTGCAGCACCGCCCTCATCATCTTTGGCCCACCTCGATTGCAAAATGACGACCCACCCGCAAGCAACCAAACAGCAACATCAACACAGTTCTTGAAATTGACATGGAGCACAACCATATTGAAAATGCAACCGAGCAACTGTACACTGGGCAGGAACGGCTTTGCGGGCTCCGAAGGTACCAAGGTCCGAAGGCTATCCAGAACCTGCAGTCTCTATATTTAGCAAATTGAAATCACAACAGGCATCCCCCCCAATATTGAATACACATCAGACAAGAAGCCTTCTCGGGAAGCATCCTTCTGGACACCTTTCTTGGGCTTCTTATTTTTCGAAACTGCTTTGGAGTCCGCAGCTTCTGCCGTCGATGCCGCAGCAGGCTCCTGCTTGGCGCACTTGGCTTGCAGCCTGGCCAAGACCATCCTCGGATATAGCATTGCTCAAGCTGATGAAGACAACGCTCGGACTGTTCAAGGCAGCATGCCAGCATCCACCTAAAACTAACTATTCCACGAAAAGGCTCTGCATCTCACCAGTCAAAGCTGGGATATGGAGCGGCGGGGTCAGCACCGAGCTGGAGCTCTCAACCTTGTGTTCATTGGAGTGCAAATGGCAACACAAAGGGACATCCCACTGAACAAATATTCGGAAGAAGCTGCATCGTCGTGCTCAGCCAAAGTAGACAGAGCAGCCTCTTCATCTTCAGGTGATTGGCTGTCCTCCTCACCCTCCGAGTCAGAATCCTTTGCGTGCTGGATTGCTAATGTGGCTGCACACCGTCATGCGTGGGTCACAAGTAGAAAT